GCGCACCGGCGTGGGCGGTCCATGTCTCGCGCACCAGTTTGCCCTGAGTGACCTCTTCTGTGGCGTCGAGAGTTAGGAGGGCGTCGGGCAGCAGCGACCACTACATCACCCCACATGCGGAATTGTTTGTGGGAACGCATTTTGAATAAAACTTGCCCTGTCCACCCGTGTTGGTTCAAAGCACCTAGAAAGCGGCCTGTTTAGTGGGGCAAGAAGGTTTGACCCAAACACTCAATGACCTACTATGTTTGGTTGAGATGGTCATGGAATCTGATATAGCTTACTGACAACGTCGAATAATTCCGAAATGGCCTTCCAATTTCCCCGGAGTTGTCGATAAATTTCCCGGTTAAAACAAAATAGGACCCTCAATGTCTACTTCCGCAGTTACATTGCCGGTGTTGGCCAACTCCCTCGGAGGGGCGATATATACAGTGGAAAGCTGAAACTGACACCAAAAACTGACCATGCATTCTGCACTTATAAAATTATCTATGAGATATTTATGAACGATAGTTGACTAACTCGGGAACAATGAATTTAACAGGATGTCAGAAAACAGATAGAAGCAAGGGCGTCGGCAGTGTGAGTTTCTTGCGCAGCTTGCTTTAGAGCTCGCCAGTTGTCTTAAAGTGCGCTCCATCGGGCTGTAGTTCCCTCTGTCTAAGTAAAAACTTCAAGCTGACTCTCAAATTCTTTTAAATTTGGATAGCCAGCGAAATCGTACCCCTTGGTAGATGAATATCGATATGGAGAGAAGCATTTACCGGGCATCAAAATATTACCAGAGAAAATAGGCCAATGGGTAAGATAATTTTATGCCTGACAGTTATGAATCAGATGGTCTTCATATTTCGTCTGGTATTCAGTGTTAGATTAAAAATAATTTACATAAGCTCGTTTATAACTGAAAATATCGGTCCGCCATCGAAAGGGAGAATTCGCCGACAGTCACAACTTTTGGCTTACATAACGCTAAGAGAAGTCTCAGTGTGTTTGCTCTCACAAACTGTAGACTCCTTTACATTCTCTTATCTGGGGAACCTCAATTTTGTGTGAATACTTTAGTATACTCCAGAATATTCTCTAATTTTTTTAACCCTTAACTAAATGCTACCATATCTGTCACCCACTCTTTGCTCATTTAAATCGTCCGGCCCTCAGTATTTTAAAATAATATCCTTCATTTATACTATGAATGCAGTAGTAGGATATTTGTTAGTAATCTAAATAGTCAACTCATAAAATAAAAAGATGCACGGGCAATAATTAGGCAATAAACCAAATACTGGCGGTGGGAATTTCCTGGACGCTAATTTTTATTGAGTTTTATAAGCTGTCCCCATAAAGTTACTCGGCCTGCTTAATCAGCATGTGCATATGTAAGTCTCTTTTAGAGTCAGGAAGGTTGCGAGGAGCAAATAATTGTTCAAAGAATCTTAGGCTCTCACTGATTAACTAGATTGACTGATATCTCCGCCAATTTTGTAGTCTTTAGTCGTTTCTATTTGTATCTTTTGGGCTACGACCGAAGTTTTACGGAAGGAAAAACTCGATAGATCGAAAATTACAAACAGACCCCAATGCAAAAGGTGAAGCTAATTGTTCCCCTATAATGTTTTTTTCCATCTTGATGCTAGAATCCTTTTTTGCTTTCTTCTAAAGAGAGCCAATGAAGAAGTCGCTGATTTACGACAGGAATTGGAAGGGAAGCAGCGACGAATTGAGGAGGTGGAGGGTCGGATGAACACCTTAAAAATGCAGGTTGCGGAGATGGAGAATGCTTTTGGCAGATCCGAAACGAGGGTTGACGAAACCTCTCAGCGTCTGCAGATGGAACGTGAGGAGACTGCGCGACTGCAGTTCCAAATAGATTCGATGACGACTGAAAGAGATAAGTTACAGGTAAGAAGAACCCATTTCTAGTCCTTTTGGGAGACTTAAGTGTTCCCTTACAAAGGACCCTATAAGCTCTGTTCATCAGCGGACCTAGAGACTAAGATTTTCACCAGCCTTCCAGGTTAAAATGAAAATAAGACGGAGATACTTACTAGGAACAAAGTGCCCATGTCAAGAAACTGCACAGGCGAAGCATTCAGAACTAACCCAACGTTTATTTCTAAAACCCCCAGCGTTTACATATTTGACTATGTTTAGAGGGAAATTGGGAAGGCTATTTATGTGTTTTCATTGAGCTGTGGCAATGGGATTGCTTTTGACTTTCTAATGCAAAGCTGATAAATAATGCTATAACTATTGACCTTTGTTAAGGTCAATGAACGTCTTTGGCAAATCTTAACGATTTATTTGATCCAGTTGTGAAAAACTCAGTGGTTCCCGTTGGAGCCTCGTAGCTCAGGTGGCTAGAGGGCTAGCAGTACTAAAGCTTCTTCCTTGATTTGCGTGAGTTTAAATCTCACTGAGACCGCTGAGTATTTCACAACTGGATCACATGAATACTTCAAATCTGCAAAAACTTCCATTAAGTTATTCCGCTCTGGCGGATTCTAGATGGATCGCCTGAAAAGTCCTGATGGAGCAATCAGCATATTGGTCAGAAGTAGTGCATGCCTTCCTCTGCAGGAGGCTGACCACATAACCTGACCAAAGCGTGGTTAAATCCGCGCCTCCTTATAGGATCTCGTAACTCGGGTGGCTAGAGTGTTGGCTGTGCTAAAGCCCCCCCCCGTTGCTGTCGTGA